ATTAATTTTATTAACATATTTCATGGAATCCATACTGTTTAACTTTTATCAAAATTTATTAAAAATTTGATTTTAATCTCCACCAAATAGGGGCAAAATCACAATAAATTTAAATTTCGATAATATACTAATTTTAAAAATTCTCCGACGATCGTATGCTAATAAAATCTACAAATTATTTATGTCATCTCAAAATTTATTTTGAGAACTACATTATAGGCATATCGAATAGTCCAAACAAATATAAAAAATAGTTAAAAATACGTTAAACGTGAGTTTTAAAGAAAGACGTCTAACTCGCATATTTGTATTTAAAAAAATTCAATTATTTCATTAATATTTATTATTTTTACAATACAAATTTCTCAATATAATTTTTATCATTTTATTAGGAAATTTTATATGGAATATGACATCAAAAATTTTCGAAATTTTACATCCGAAAAAGTGATATCTCATGTAAATTTTCGAATGCAAAATTACATGAGATTTTTTTTTAAAAATTCAATTATTTCATTATCATTTATTATTTTTGCGATACAAATTTCTCAATGTAATTTTCATCATTTTATTAGGAAATTTTATATGGAATATGACATCAAAATTTTTTGAAATTTTACATCCGAAAAGGTCACATCCCATGTACATTTTTTGATGCAAAATTACATGGGGTATTATTTTTTTTGACGTAAATTTTCGATTGTAAAATTTCTTCCAACTTCTTTATAAATTCGATTGTGTCCCCCTAACTTTAAAGTTCTGTGTCCGCCCCTGATATATCATAACATATATATTTTCTGAATTCAAGTTTTGTCTTTGGTCATTTGAATGTACGGGTGTTAAATATCTAACTTTTACATGAAAATAGCTTTGAAACAAACTTATTTTCTTTCTGACCATTTAAGTTTTTAAATGTAGTAAATTTTAACTCGTCCCGAAATTGGTTACGTAGAGTGTAACCACGAGAATGGCTTTAAGGAAAGGGCTATCTAATAAAAAATGGCTGAAAGGCAAGGAAATGGCAGTGGATTTGAGCGGTTTTTGATTTTTCATTTTGGTTCCACTTGGAGTGGAGAAGGTGATGGTGGCAACAGTGGGGTGTAACAACAAGAATGGCTGAAAGGCAAGGGCTATCTAATAAAAAATGGCTGAAAGGCAAGGAAATGGCGGTGGATTTGAGTGGTGGTTTTGATTTTTCATTTTGGTTCCACTTGGAGTGGAGAAGGTGATGGTGGCGACATCGACTGTGGGCAGCAGTGATTAGTTGCTGATGTGGAAGCGATGGTGGTGTCGATGACACTGGAAAGAAGATGAAGTTTGAGTTGAGTTGGGTTGGGTTGGGATGGGATGGCGGTGGGGTGATGGGGATTGGTGAAGGGGTTGGAATTATTTTTCTATTTTGGTTTTTTTTTTATTTTTAATTATTTAATTTAGGCCGTATCTGGTGCGGCTTTTCTCTTTCATTTTTTGCCATTTTTTGACCGTTACTTTCGGCGGCAAGTCCTACGTCACTCACAAGTAGTTGCTTTAGATACCAAACGGGCAAAAAATCCCTTTTTTTCCAGGTGTAATTCATACTAGAAAAATACAAAGTTACCATTTTACCATTTTCAATTTGGTCAAAATTGAATCAATTTTGACATTTTTAGTGAACTAACGATCAAATTGTTGGTGGACTCAAGGTGGATATTTTTGAAAGGATTGGGATTGTGACCAGCACAAAGTGAAAGTTAGGGTAAAGTGTGAGAAAATTGAAAAGTTAGGGACCGTTGCTACAATTTTTCCTATTTATTTATTTTTAGTCCATTTTATCTTTTATTTCATTTAAGGTCCTTGAACTTTTATCCTTCATATGTTGTCCTCAATCTTTCCATCTCGTCAATTTTTGCTCTCTAACATTTCAAAATAAGCATGTTGGTCCCTCCATATTTGAGTTCCTCTATTGTACTCCTTAAACTTATAATTTCATCCATTTCATCCCTACACAATATAAAGTGTTCAATTTGATCTCCAAAATCTATGAAATCTTTCAATTGACTTTCAATTCGTCCATCTAGGACCAATATTTTTCGGCACTTGTTCAATTCCACCTTTTATCCTTTTGCCCTAAATCCTAAACCCTAAAAATATTCAGATAGATTACATTTTTTATACTTGGAATCAACATAACTTCATAATAAAATAATAAAACTTTTTAATTTTAAATATTGACAAACAAATATTTTTTTATTTACAAGATAATTTTTTAAAAGTACATAGCATTTGGTTAATTCTTTTTTTATTTTTTTTGTGCATGTTTCACGAAGTATTTCCTCGATTACTGCACCTCTTCCTCATCTCTAGGTGCATAGATATCCACCGTCAGCCTTTCCTCATGTGAACCTTGCCCTTCTAAGGTTTTGTCATCCTAAGGTCATTTTAAACAATTTTTTATTTTCAAATACGTTTGAATTATTTTATATATTTACTCTATTCTTAAGAAAAGTACGTGTTGAATTGTCAAAAGAAGTAACTTTTTTATATTTAATTTTGACTATTAAATAAATATTTAGAACTTATTTAATATATTCAAATATTCACCTAGACATTTACCTAGGTAAATGCTTGTATAAACTTTTAAGCTTATTCAATCGTTTACCTAGTATAGTCAAATATTCACCCAGTAATATAGACATTTTGTTCGACTCCAACTTAATGATCAATACCTAGGACCTTATTGAACTTGCGGAATGTTGTTGGAATTTACTGTGCTATCTACATGATATATTAACGTCGAACTTGACATACAATGATAAAAAGGAGTAAGTGCAAACGGCCCTAAACTTTGGCGAGTGAATTGCGATTTTGAATTTTGGAACTAAATGCGTACATGTGCTAAAGATTGCGGACGAAATGTCCAATTTTTCTGGTATTTCTTACATTATGCCCGCAGGTTCATAACATCGATACCGTTAAATCCGTTAGGAGTATCAGTAAGTTGGGCTACATACGAGTAGAATTTTACGTTTTTCGACAATTTTACAGAAGCCAAATAAGGCGCCAGAATACATTTGAAAATCGGATGATTTCAAAGATACCCACAAATCTTCCACCTCATTTGAATATCAAATTTATCAAGAATTATTTGAATTCTGGTGATTTGAAATGTGCTCGCCAACTGTTCGATAAAATATCTGAACCAGATATTCAATTGTGGACATTGTTCATCACGGTTTATACAAAGCATGGTCATCCAAAAGAAGCAATAAACTTTTATGTGGAATTCAGAAATAGTGGAAAAGTTAGTCCCGATAAGTTGGCTTTTCTGTCTGTTGTCTAGGCTTGTGCTAAATTAGGGGATGTTTTAAAGGCAAAAGACATCCATGATGATGCCATCAAATATGGGTTTGGTTCCGATTTGCTTCTTGGGAATGCGATGATTGATATATATGGGAAATGCAAGTACATTGATGATGCGAAGATAGTTTTTGATGATTTGAGAGTGAAGGATGTGATTTCTGGGACATCATTATGCTCATGTTATGTCAATTGTGGGCTCCCGGGAGATGCTCTTTGGGCAATTCGTGCNTTCTCCATGAGTTTATTGAGCCAAAACGGAGAAAAATAGTGTATGGGGGCTTTCTACATTTGTATTTTGCTGTTAAGTATGTGTAAGAGTCGAAAATTGGATGAAAATCACGTCCGAATTGATTTCCAAAAGAGTTCTAATCGAATAAGGAAAGTTGCATTCGCGGACGGATTTTTTGTTTCTGCACAGCAGTTAGTAATTTGGTTATAACTTTATCTTTGGATATCCGATTTAGTAGATTCAAAATGTGTTGAAAAGATAACTCAAAGAGATAAAACTTTGTTAGAAATAGATCTTTTTCAATTCGGACTTTTATTATACAAAATGGATCTCAATTTTCGATTAAAAATCTGGAATATATCTTGTGCGAATTGTAAATTGATTTTGATCATATTCCATTCCTTTTTGACTTCTAATTGCTTCCAATCGACCCTTAGCATTCAGGAACCTTCATCGTGAGCCCTGACACAATTTTTGAATATTTACACATTAGTCCCTGAACTTTCACTTTATTTCATTTTGGTCATTTTTCACTTGTTTCTTCTTATTTTCGCTACATTCATCACTCGTCCAGCTAAACATATTAATCAATAATTGCTCGTGTTTTGACAGTAAAATAAGTATGTAAAACGCACTTATCAGGGAGTGAAATGCGATTTTGAATTTTTGGAACTAAATGCGTACACGTGCTAAAGATTGCGGATGAAATGTCCAATTTTTCTGGTATTTCTTACATTATGCCTGCAAGTTAATAATGTTGATACCGTTAAATCCGTTAGGAGCATCGGTAAGTTGGGCTGCATATGAGTAGAATTTTACGTTTTTCTATGATTTTACAGAAGCCAAACAAGGCGCCAGAATACATTTGAAAATTGGATGATTTCAAAGATACCCACAAATCATCGATCTAGGTCCGATATTTTTCGGCACTTGTTCAATTCCACTTTTTATCCTTTAGCCCTAAATCCTAAACCCTAAAAATATTTAGATAGATTACATTTTTTATACTTGGAATCAACATAACTTCATAATAAAGTAATAAAACTTTTTAAATAACAAAATTTTTTAATTTTAAATATTAACAAACAAATATTTTTTTATTTACAAGGTAATTTTTCAAAAGTACATAGCATTTGGCTAATTCTCCTTTTTTTTAAAAAATTTTTTTATGCGTGTTCCACGAAGTATTTCCTCGATTACTGCACCTCTTCCTCATCTCTAGGTGCCTAGATATCCACCGTCAGCCTTTCCTAATGTGAACCTTGCCCTTCTAAGGTTTTGACATCTTAAGGTCATTTTAAACAATTTTTTATTTCCGAACATGTTTGAATTATTTTATATATTTACTATATTCTCAAGAAAAGTACATGTTGAATTGTCAAAAGATATAACTTTTTTATATTAAATTTTGACTATTAAATAAATATTTAGAACTTATTTAATATATTCAAATATTCACCTAGACATTTACCTAGGTAAATGCTTGTATAAACTTTTAAGCTTATTCAAACGTTTACCTAGTATAGTCAAATATTCACCTAGTAATATAGACATTTTGTTCGACTCCAACTTAACGATCAATACCTAGAACCTTATTGTACTCGCGGAATGAACTTGTTGGAATTTACTGTGCTATCTACATGATATATTAACGTCGAACTTGACATACAATGATAAAAAGGAGTAAGTGCAAACGGCCCTAAACTTTGGGGCGTGAAATGCGATTTTGAATTTTTGGAACTAAATGCATACACGCGCTAAAGATTGCGGATGAAATGATCAATTTTTCTGGTATTTCTGACATTATGTCCGCAGGTTCATAACGTCGATACCGTTAAATCCGTTAGGAGCATCGGTAAGTTGGGCTGCATACGAGTAGAATTTTAAGTTTTTCTACAATTTTACGGAAGCCAAACAAGGCGCCAGAATACATTTGAAAATCGGATGATTTCAAAGATATCCACAAATCGTCCATCTAGGTCCAATATTTTTCGGTACTTGTTCAATTCCACCTTTTATCCTTTTGCCCTAAATCCTAAACCCTAAAAATATTTAGATAGATTACATTTTTTATACTTGGAATCAACATAACTTCATAATAAATTAATAAAACTTTTTAAATAATAATTTTTTAATTTTAAATATTAACAAACAAATATTTTTTTATTTACAAGGTAATTTTTTAAAAGGACATAGCATTTGGCTAATTCTTTTTTTATTATTTTTTTTGTGCCTGTTTCATGAAGTATTTCCTCGATTACTGCACCACTTCCTCATCTCTGGGTGCCTAGATATCCACCGCCAGGCTTTTCTCATGTGAACCTTGCCCTTCTAAGGTTTTGTTATCCTAAGGTCATTTGAAACAAGTTTTTATTTTCAAATATGTTTGAATTATTTTACATATTTACTCTATTCTTAAGAAAAGTACGTGTTGAATTGTCAAAAGAAGTAACTTTTTTATATTTAATTTTGACTATTAAATAAATATTTAGAACTTATTTAATATAATCAAATATTCACCTATACATTTACCTAGGTAAATGCTTGTATAAACTTTTAAGCTTATTCAATCGTTTACCTAGTATAGTCAAATATTCACCTAGTAATATAGACATTTTGTTCGACTCCAACTTAATGATCAATACCTAGGACCTTATTGAACTTGCGGAATGTTGTTGGAATTTACTGTGCTATCTACATGATATATTAACGTCGAACTTGACAATGATAAAAAGGAGTAAGTGCAAACGGCCCTAAACTTTGGCGAGTGAAATGCGATTTTGAATTTTTGGAACTAAATGCGTACATGTGCTAAAGATTGCGGACGAAATGTCCAATTTTTCTGGTATTTCTTACATTATGCCTGCAGGTTCATAACGTCGATACTGTTAAATCCGTTAGGAGTATCGGTAAGTTGGGCTACATACGAGTAGAATTTTACGTTTTTCGACAATTTTACAGAAGCCAAATAAGGCGCCAGAATACATTTGAAAATCCGATGATATCAAAGATACCCACAAATCTTCCACCTCATTTGAATATCAAATTTATCAAGAATTATTTGAATTCTGGTGATTTGAAACGTGCTCGCCAACTGTTCGATAAAATATCCGAACCAGATATTCAATTGTGGACATTGTTGATCACGGTTTATACGAGCATGGTCATCCAAAAGAAGCAATAAACTTTTATGCGGAATTCAGAAATAGTGGAAAAGTTAGTCCCGATAAGTTGGCTTTTCTGTCTGTTGTCAAGGCTTGTGCTAAATTAGGGGATGTTTTAAAGGCAAAAGACATCCATGATGATGCCATCAAATATGGGTTTGGTTCCGATTTGCTTCTTGGGAATGCGATGATTGATATATATGGGAAATGCAAGTACATTGATGATGCGAAGATAGTTTTTGATGATTTGAGAGTGAAGGATGTGATTTCTGGGACATCATTATGCTCATGTTATGTCAATTGTGGGCTCCCGGGAGATGCTCTTTGGGCAATTCGTGCAATGTGTCTGAGTGGAACAATGCCTAATGCTATGACTTTATCTTATATACTTCCTGCTTGTTCAGTTTTGAAGTGTTTGAATTTGGGTAGAGAGGTTCATGGTTTTGGTATTAAGAATTGTATGGAAGATAACATGTTTGTGAATAGTGCACTGGTTGATATGTATGCTAGTTGTTCAAGTATCAAGCAAGCTGAGCAGGTGTTTCATAACATG